GTTGGCTTAAAACAGAATGACAAAGGTCGAGACAGAAGAAGATGACATCGTAATATCCTAATATATGAACTTTTATTAAACTTAGATTTTGACAGAATAACCCAGATAAGAAAGAAGGGGTTGAAAAGGAAATTTCCTTCTTGAATAATCTTTTCCACAGCTCATTGTGCAAAACTGGTTTCAGATAATGGCGTACGAGGGCAAGGCTACTTTCGGGCTAACCCATTTCGTTCACTGCACCTGAGGCTAAACTTCATTACGATATAATGAAGTCAAGCCACACACGAACATGCCTGATTAATTCCACTGGAAATGCAAAAGAGAGTGCGAAGAGGAAGTGGTGAAAGGAACGGGGAGGGGGGAATGGAGAGAGGGAAACAGAGAGAGGAAAGACACAACCGATGTATAGCTACTGGACAGCAAGGTGAGAGAAACCTATTGCTCTTGTGATGAAGATGAATGGAAAGAGATCACTTGAATACAGAGCAGCAGTTCTCCATCTCTGAATGGACGCGCACACACACACACACACACACACGAACGCGTCTACCCCCGAAGACCGCACCAAGCCCTACTCAAAGCTCGGAAAGCCCCCCACCGTCCCCCCCCCATTGCAATGTGCGGCTCTAGCTACAGAGAGGAACTACTGTTGCCAAGGTTATCGACTGGGGGAGTCAATAATGTTTGATCACAAAAACATTCAGCCACAGCCGAATCGCCTCAGTACAGCGAACACGCAGACAGTGACGGATAGATACAAATGACAGTAACATTCGAATGCCTAATGGAAAATTGAGTCCTCAGAATATAAGCACCAATTAGCAGCATCCCCACATGAACATTAGTCCATTCATCTCTGGCCCAAAGCAAAATGCTAGAGGTTTTAATGAGAATATCAATGGTATCCGCTTTGCGCCAAACCGCCGCAGCTGTTTGGAAGTACACACTCGATCTGGGGGAGACTTGCTCTGGATTCTTCAACTCATAACAGGTTTGTTTTGTTTCATTTCAACAGCTGCACATTTCCACGAGCCAGCGCCACCCTGCAGAAGTTTGGAAAAGTTGTCACACATTTAAATCTCATGTTAATGCTATTGCAAAACAAACGCGTCCTCTCAGCCAAGATAGGACTCGAACTGATTAAAACAAGCTATCAAAACAAGCTTCAGTTGAAACAAATGGAAAATGCGTTCGGAGTCGTGTGTGTGTGTGCGTTTTGTGAGGAGGAGGAGGGGATAAAATTGATTGCCTGACAAGATATTTATTATTTCATCTAAGGTCATTCCTAACGTAGCTCCATCTGCCGTAGAAGTTGCTTTAACCAAGAATGATTTGTTGAGTTTTGGAGGTCAAAAACAAAAATATACTGCTCCGGTGGGAGCTTTTAGGCTACAATTACAAGACGTCGCCCTGCTGAGCGCTGAGAAACATTCAAATCAACCACCAGCAGAACATCTTAAGTGTATCGGTCTATTTTCATTGTTCCCTTGTCGACTAACCTTGCAGAAAGGCTCCACAATTAGTCTCCCGATATGGAAAAATTCATTCTAAGCAGCTCATTCGATTCATCAGACTGCAAATAGAAATTCCTTACGACTGATTAAAATGCTATTTCTGGACCAAAGCGTACGAATGTTTGGGGTGAGTGTTTTTTTTTTTTTTCCTTTAAAAGAAATCAAGGGTGGAAGTTTGCAAAGAGTGTACAGATCTCAGAAATCTCTCAATAGAGTTATTACTGCAAATTAGGCTTTTTCATGTTCAGCGCCTGAGCCTTTTCTAGTCTGATGAGGCTCAACCTGCCGTTACCTCACGCCAACAAGGAAGACAAATACACTGCAAATCAATCCAAATCACGTCAGCCAAGTGGAAACCTGTTGAGGTGCACTGTTTATGAGTAATCAAAAACTGCAGTGCCAAGTGAAGGGGGGGGGGAAGCAATGCAAAAGCCTGGCTGGACTTTCAGTGAGCAGATCTTAAATGTGAATTGTGCCTAAAGGGGAATAAATACCGTTATAACTAAAGTCTACATCTAAAATAACCACATTAACACATGTGTAGAGGTAAAAACAAAAAGGGGGGCAACACCTTTTCACCTATGATATTATGCACACGTCTGGTTGTACAGACTGTGCAGGATGACAGCCTCGTTGCAGCTTTTGCTTATTATAAACAAGTCTGTATTTCGACATCAAGTTGCGGGTTGTGACTGATAAATAAGGGAAAAGATAAAAACATTTCCGCTCAGTACTAACAAGAATGACAACAGCACAGGCTATATTGGTAATATCACACATCCTGTCACAGATCGGCGGATGTGGACATCTGATAAGAGTTTGTTGCTAGAAGAAAAAAAGGAAGAAAAACAACTGTCGCTTAGTGTTTTATCTAATCGGTGAATCGTTTCAAAGCGTCAAGCATCCTAAACATACTAAAACCCGCTATTACTCCTCGCTTTATCCCCCTTTATTAAATCAAGGCTGCAACAAATAAAGAGTAAAAGCGACTCCTTTACATTCAGCATTGTGCCAGCACACGTTTTAAAAAAAAAAGGCTCGGCTCCATGTGAGCACGGGCTGCAGAAGAGGAGGACGAAAGTGTGAAACAAACCTGTGACTTTTCTTTTTTTCTCCTCTCCTCTCCTCTCCTCTCCTCTCCGGGTCTGTAGTAGGGAATTGCTTAGCGCTCAGTTCATATCATTCTTCAAAGTTGCGGCCACTTACGAGGCGTGCGACGGACACTTTAAATCACCGCCGACGATATCTACAGCGAACAGCAGCTTCCCTTCAAAGCTCGACGGAGATCTCTATCATGCAAACTCCCATGTCTAGCTCCTGGGGTATCTTAGCTCAGCTAGCCTGCTAGCTGGCTGGAATAAACAGTTGGGATGTCGAGTCTTAACTCTTCATATACCGGCTCTTTCCGACCGGACGACGCGGTCCTCTTCACAACCCACAACGGCGTCCGCGTCGTGCGTTAGCGTCCATATCTGCCCGCGCACCATGAGTCCCTTTGTGGTCACCGAATTGCCCTCTTTTCCTCCTCTTCTCTCGGGCAGCGGCTCACCCCTCTCCAACACCACAATGGGTTCTGTTTCGACTCTTTTCAACACCAGCCTCTTTGCCGTTTGCGACACCCGCTGTCTGTTTACGGCCGCGGTTGCTAAGCGATTGTTCTAATATTGTCATGTCTGGAACGCCCCCCCCCCCCCCCCCCGGTGCAAAGTTTGCCCCA